CATACCTTGCTGCATATGGAAATTACACCCGTAATCTGTTGTCTAGAGCTAGGTCTAGGTCTTCCCTCCATTGGCAATGTGCGGAGATGCGTAGACAGTAGACCTAGCCATACCTCTGGAAGCCTGTTCCGGACACGGCCTATGTCATAGGCACGAGAGAGACTTGGTTTGAAAGTACCCGGAAATAGAGGAGTGCCAAGTTCCTACCACTCATGTTGAAGATTTCCTTGTTTTGGGAGCTGGTATACGCTGTATGTGAACTGCGAAAGTATTGTGTCATATACATGTACTTGTAACAAAATATGGACGACATCAGTCAAGCACACATGAATACCCCTTCTGCATGGAGTTTTGGAGGTATCATGGACAACGGATGGTAAGTCCGTTTGTATAAGTTGTATTGCAGCTAAGCAAGGAATATGGCACAGCACATTAATTGGGATTGCAAACTTAACTGGGCATGGCAACGCATCTATGATTGCTGCCAAAGTAATTAAGGCTGGGAAACTTAATGAAAGACGGGGTCAATGACCTTGTACGTCTCATGCATTAATTGAACGCCGGCATAATTTTTTTCTAATGATTTCCTTGGAAAACGGTTACTGCCAAAATGAGCATGATGCGAAAATTGCAATGGTAGCTTTCTCTTACAATTGCTTTTCGTCATACCAACGAAACGTGCAAATGTGTCCATGTCGACTCATGAGGGCGCTCTTGTAAACAAAGTCTCTAGCTCTTCTCACAAGGCCGTGTAAGTCTGTCTGTCATGGTTGTAAATCCCGGGGAGGGGGTATATAATCACCCCTCCCCCCCACCTGAACAGGAGGATGGGGTACTGAATCACCTCCACCCACTTTTTCAGGTGCTCCATGTGACTTTTGAGGGATTTTGCGGACTTTCAAACAAGCAAAGGGTATGATTTCATTGGCTCTGAAAGAGGGAGAAAACCCAAAAGCTTTAAATACAGTGCTATAATGTAAGATTACACATATTGAAGATAAATGCATAAGAATGGTATATATATTAAAGATGTGCGTCTATATCATGAACAGCGCCTCCTATAGTCGTTTTCAAATTTTCATGTCCGGGCAATTGTTTCAATTGAACAGGAGAACGTTGTGTTTCGACGCACCCTCATTAATATTATTTTGGAGGACGTTATTACTTCCGTGCAATGGACACTCTCTCGGTGCAATTTTAACTCGCAGTCAATTCTGCACCCCCCCCCCCTGGGGTGTCTGTGTGAAGCCTCCCCGACGATCACCCCAATCGCCGAGGAAAAGACGGACAGACCAACTCGCGAGATCGTTGACATCGCTCTCGCCTAATTCGAGTTCCAGAAATGTCGACTTATATAATGTGTTGTATACGAATGGAGGGATCTATTCTCCCCAGATCAGATCTCGACAACATTATTTCTGAAATGTTGTGAGGAGTGGAACAGGCACAGGCTTTTTTTTTCAAAGGCCTCTTCAACAAGACCCACCTGCCGCTCTAATAATCTCGAATGGAATATCAGTTAATGTCATCGCACAAATCTGTCCCCCAATACACGTGTTAATATCTCCGGGATCCCTTTACAAGAGACGCAGACGTCACATTTATTGCAGTTCAAGTATGACTTGTCAGTGTGGTGCATTTCCGGCAACAGGGGTGGATGATGGGTGCCTTACGTCATTGAGAAAAAAATCTCTAGCTGCTAAGCTGTCCATACGACAGAAATCTGGTCTCAATTAAAACTAGTGGCCATTTTCAGTAGTTATTTTGATAAAGTCAGAGAATATAATATCGAGCAAAAAATATAAAAACCAACGGTGTATATGAACTGGTTCCCTTCTGTCTCTATAACATAACGGCGTTTGCTATACTGGACACCATTGAGATAAGTCTCGTTCCACAGACGTGTCGCACAAGCACCAAGCTTTGTCACTGGGAATCTATTTCAATATTCAAGTATTATTTTTACAAAGGATTTTAATATTTTTTTATTTTGATAGAACCAGTCACACTCATTTCGAATCCCGTGGATGTTTTAATCATGCTGGTAATGACACGAGAACAGCAATACTTTTTAATAACATACCTTTTGGGTACTCATCTTCACCAGTGGAAAACCATTTTTAATTGAATTGGACTCTCAGCTGGAACGCTGGACACACACAAAGCAATTCTCATCAATCATGCGCCTCATTACCAGTAACGAAGTATAGCTCAAAACCCACATCAATAATCCACCACTTCGAATTCGGTGGGCACACCCAAACACCCTCGATGATTGTCTCACAAGTTGGGAGAGAGTGTGTAGTTCATACCATGTGATCTCCACTGGCCAATCACGATCGCGTCGCCAATGTTAACTTACTGGCGTCTGGCAATCGATTCTTACCGAAAGTACCTTGAACACATTGTCTGCTGGGATTTTAAAATGAGGCCTGGTGTAGAGAGAAAAATTAATACCCATGTGTCCTTCTGAAGCGTAATCAGCGTAAATGCTCGGTTTGTACTCTTGTATCCTGACTTAATATTCTATTGTGCTGTGCCTCCAACATAAGGCAACCAAACGACCGAGACTAATTACAAGGAAATTTTCACAAAGAACCATAATCCCACTTTTGATTGAGTTGTAGTCATTTCTAGAAATTACCATCCTTAAAATTAACCAGGCATGCACTAATGTTTTCAAAAGGAAAAAATGATGGCGGCAAATACTGACGCCGGTGTCCCCTGTGGCAGATGAGACGGGAGTAGTTAATTGAAGTAGCATATTGAAATGATAATAGCCTTAAGCGTATAGACTGTTTCTAGGAATAAATGTTGTAGATTGTACATCTCGGAGAAACTTTAGTACCTCCTCCTCGTTCCTATTTGGGGATCCTTGCTCTTCATATATCCTAACAGTGTTCACAGAAAAGGATGATAATCGAAATTTAGACAATATCAGATTCACCACTGCTTGACTAAGAAGCGGGTCATGTTAGCCTTGAATGAAGTCTACTTAGAGGATCCGCGCTTAAATTACGTACATTTTACGCTGGACTACAGACGAGAGGAGAGCGGTGCTGTTTCAGTTCACTCCCGTCAGCCAAGGCCTTAGGGCGAAGACGAACTGTTACCAGTGGGCAGTGGGCTGCTGCCGTGTGCTAACATGCGCCGACGTGTTCCCCCATTATCTGTGTGACCAAATATATGGACTGAACTAGTAAAACATCGACGTTACAGCTTAGCACTGTGCATTTTGGACTGGTGCCTGCACCATACCATCGCATCTGTTTTGACTCCCTCCAAAGGTAATTTGCTGCCCAAATGAGTCAACTTAAAAACGCTAACGTGACTTCTTGTTTCTGACGAATCGTGTTGGTCCCCGACTCGTTCTTGCAGGTCTTTCTCCAGACTGTTCGTGCAAATACTGGGCCGTATTTTGAGCACGTCCTTGGCAGGATGCGTCAGCAACCGGCACTAATCACCATGCGCATTGTGACGGCAGCCGTGATTTTAGCCACCGCGGCATACTACTGTCAGGGCCAGGGTTCGTGTCAATTCACGCCTGAGTTTCACGGCGCCACAAACCGAGCTCTGAGAAATCACACCTTTCAACAGAGGCCCGTATCGTCTCCTGTGATCTGTGGTCGCGACTGCTCGATGAACCGACGGTGCTTGTCCTTCAACTATCAGGCGAACAGCCGGGTCTGCGAGTTAAATGCAGCGACTCGAGCCCAGAGTCCCGCGGAGGATTTCATCGAGGTGCCACGCAGCATCTATTTCGACGACGACGGTGAGACTTCCCACTTATCGGCGCGTTGCGCGCCAACTTCAAAGCACAAAAGTTGCCAGTCACTTTTCGAAGCAGGACATTCCAAAAGCAGCGTCTACACTATCTATCCCACCGGTAGGTCGAAACCATGTGGAGTTCGAGTTTACTGCAACATGGAGACTGACAGAGGTTGGATCGTGTTCCAGAAGAAGCAGGGCAGTACCGTCAACTTCTGTCGTAGCCGGGCCGAGTACACGTCTGGCTTCGGTGAACTGACAGGCGATTTCTGGTTAGGGAATAAAGCCCTGCGTGACCTCACCGTGTCGGGGCATTGGATGCTCCGAGTGGACCGGACTGACTGGCAAGGAAACATGTGCTCGGTCGAATGCGAAGGGTTTCGAGTTCCTGGTAAGAATTCCAATCATGGCAATAAAAATCGCCAACGCAGTTGTACAATGGATTATTCTTCGACTGACAACATGGCACACGATGTCACAACTGAGGCTTGGGATGGTGATGGCTCGCCATCACGGAAATGGGCCCGGTGGTCAAACAACTGCACGTCTGATTCTGATCATAGTAAAAAATGCCTGACCAGTTTTCGTCATGGTGCATTGAAATGGTATGGCTGCTTAATTCGCTTTTTAGACACAGCACAGCACTGCAGCATGAAAATTCGAGAAATGTAAGTTTTAAGACAAACCAGACAGCGGGACATTAAAGAACATAGGCAAACGTGACGACTCGTTGATTTGAGACAAAAAGCACAAAGAGCTGATTGAACTGGAGAATAATTGGCTGCAAAAATGCTCAAAATTAACAACAAAAAACCTGGTCGTTCAGTCACTGCAGCGCTTGCGGAAGATACCCCCCCGGCAGGTATATCGACGAGGTTGGTCTACAAAACGAAGGAAGCACCGTAAAGACATTATGTGTGGATACTACCCAAGCCACCAAACAAACAGCAAGAGCGAAGGTATTAAACGAAACGTTCGTTTGACACCGAATGCAAAAACAGAACTGCCAACGAACTGGAAAAGGAGAATCTTCGAAACTCGTACAAAAATCTGTTAACACTGACTATGGGTGTGTTCGATTAGCTTACACGTGTAAGTTAAACTTACACCAGAGCGTTCGTTTAGCCATCACGTGATCCTCGTGCCTGCCCTGGTGTCAGCCACTACTACTCCAGCTGGCGAGCGGGTCTCTGAAGGCTGCTCGAGTGTAATGACGTCACGGATGGACTGTTAGAGCATGGACGTTCATGATGGAAAGTGGCGGGGACTTGAACTTTTTCCCAGAATGCCTTGGAAAACACACTGCAGCGTTCGATAAGCTTCATTTTGAGGCTTTCCTTGAGTGTAACACTGGTGTGTTCAGGGAAGCTAATCGAACGCACCCCATGATGAGGGCGGACGCTCTAAACGCTTTGTCGGGACGAAACTGTGCAACTTTCGGCTTTCGCGTTTTCACTGTGTGTCAGTTTCGGAGACTGTGCATGAGAAAAAAGTTCTCATAAAAACGATGCCATTGTTGGTGTGCCTTTTGTGAAAAAAACGTGTTTGCTTGAAGCATTGTACGGCATGATAGAGTTCATGGTTGTCGATGTAATTTTGTGACAGATA